TAACTCACATTCCAGTCCAGCATCACAAGGCCCATCTTGTACCTTCCCGTAACCATTTTCTACTTCCTTTCCCACACAGCGAGTCACCTGGTTCCCAGCATCAGTATATCTGTCTGCTCATTTTCTCTGTCATAATAATACACACAAGAATGGTTTCAGAATTATATCGTTGAAATAACAGACTGTTCAGGTAATATTCAGAATGCCTTCCTGTCCTCAGGAGATAGTCCACCAAGGATACACAAGGATATCCACCAAGGATGCTGGGTTCAGTTACTTGAATTCTTCCCTTCTGGTTTTCTTAACAGTTTGATGTACAGTGAAGTTTGTTTGATTCCATTTGGGTTCAGTTTTAGTATTTTCTTATTTCTTGATTCTTTTTTGTTTAATCTTACAATTTTGAGTCTATAAAGCATTATCATGGTTCAGAAGTCAAGACTGTAGAGAAAGGCGTGTGCTCTCTTCCCTCCTGCCATATTCCAACCCACTCTGTGCAGTTTACTCTGTTCCCTTGTCTCTGGTTTATCCTTCTGTGTTTCTCTTTGCAGAGATAAGTCATAAATATAGTCTTAGCTCTCCTTTTGTGTAGAAAAGAAGTACATTGTACTCATTTGCATTTCCATTCCTATCCACCACCCCTCCTTTTTTAAGGCACTGACTTCTGGTTGTCTACCAGTATCAATGCTGGAATACAGTAGTAACAGTAAATTAAATAGTAATGACAGAGAATAATATGCTCCCTTATAGCAGATTGCTTCACTTTTTTAAAAAGTTAACTTTATCTGATCACCAGATAGTTTAAGGGTGCTACTTGAAAAACTAATTCTTCTTATAATTTACAGCCTATTGGCTCTAGTTGGCAGAGTGACACAAAATATACATCAGATTATTTAGGGAATGATTTCAGCATAGTCTCAATACTGAGAAAACACGTGGCAGGATGGAACTGGCCCTGCACTGCAGTCAGGACAGTCTTCTGGGAGGCACTGCCCCTCTGGGGCCACTTCAGTTTTTCAGATGATCAGGTTGAATTAAGGCTGTAAACCCCAAAAAGGGGACCTATTGGGGGGGATTTTGCTCTCACCAAGGAGCACAAAACTGAGAAAGGCAAGTTCCTTTTCTCCTTCAGTTGAGGTGAGGTTTTGCATTTTGTTTGTTTTTCTAGCCCATCCTCTATAAGGGTGTGGCACAGAGCATACAGGCTCCCGCCCGCTGCCCCTCCTGGTTGGCTATGGGCTCTGTCTTCTGGCCCCCAAACCCCTTGCACCCTTAATGGGCAGCTGGAGGCCACCAACAGAGTGGAGGAGTGTCTTGGGCAGTCAGCGTCAACTTCCAAGATCCCAGTCTTCTGCTTTTACTTGATTTGGGGCCTCTAAGGGTTTTACTTTCTTAGTGGCTCAGAGAGGTGTAAGTTGAACCTTTGGTTACAACATCTCATCAGTCATGCTTGAGGAGTGGGAACTTGGATGACTCACAGATCGAGCATCTGTGTTGGTCTCTGATGGCCAGTCCTGTCTCAGAATTTCATGGTTCTTTACATCATACAGGACCACCTATTTCTTCAGGTTTAGACCAGACCTCCCCCCATCCTTGATATCCCTCCATTGATAGCCTGATCAACACTGCTCTCTCCTGCTAAAAATATTACACCACTGTGTGATACCTTATGCTTTTAATTCATCCTTTCTGGTTAGTTATATACACATATTTAAGCCCTGCTTAATGGTCTCGTTGGTTTAAGAATGTATGCTCATAATAGTGATTTCTTTGTCATCATCATTCAGGCTTGTTACTTTAAGCTTGTTAATTATAACTTTATTTATTTTATTTATTTATTTATTTGGCTGCACCAGGTTGCAGCATGTGGGATTTAATTCCCTTACCAAGGATTGAACCCAGGCCCCCTGCTTTGGGACCTTGGAGTCTTAGCCACTGGACCACCAGGGAAGTCCCTAATTATAACTTTAGTACTTCCTTCTCAGGTGTATGGAGCATTCTGTCATAGACTGATTCTGATCACACAGAAGCTAAACCCAGTTTCTGGGACTATCTCATCTTTATACACACACACTACTTGTGTGTTTGTGCTCAGTCGCTCAGTTGTGTCCAGCTCTGCAACCCCATGGAATGTAGCCCTCCAGGCTCTTCTGTCCATGGTATTTTCCCAACAAGAATCCTAGAGCAGATTGCCATTTCCTGCTCCAGGGGATTTTGCCAACTCAGGGATAGAACCCGTGTCTTTCATCTCCTGCATTGGCAGGTGGATTCTTTACTGCTGAGCCACCTCAAAAGCCATATATATGTGTGTGTGTGTGTGTGTGTGTGTGTGTGTGTATACACATGTGTATATATACATACACACACACACTTTCCCATGCATTCCGTTAACATTCTCATTTTGGTTTTTTTTTTAAGGAGGGAGTAATAAATCCTGGTTTAAGGAAGTTGTTTTTAAATTTTTTTCCACTAGATGAAGTAATACATCAATGTTTGTAGTACTAAATAACAAAGAAATACAGGCAATTTCTTGAAAATCAGAAAATATTTTTTGAAGCTTAGAAATCCAATTGTTGGCATCTTGGTAATTACCTAGTTCTAATGAGTTTTCATGCTAGGCACGATACTGCTTTTTTCATTTAACATTACTCCTAAGCATTTTGTAATGTCTAATTTTTGTATTTGAATCAAAGCAATAAAAGTAGTGTGTAAATCGAAGCAGCACGAGGCAGAGTAATGAACTATATGTCTCCATTTCCTTAACCACATGTATGTGCAGGCATGCAGAGAGTGCTGATCCGAGGGGAGAACACCCTGGTTTGGGGTGAGGAATCGGAGATGCACATCTTTACACTGATGGGATCTTTCCCTACATACCATTTTCTCTCTTTTTTTCCTGTTAATATGTCCTGCACACTTTTTCAGGTCAATATACCTACTATTCCATTATCTCCTATTCTAACTAGTCCTTTATTGATGGATGAGTCTACTGAATGGATATATTTGTAAATATCCTACTTTGACCTGCATCTTAGAAACTTTCTGAACTATCCAGTATTGTTGGTACTGTATTATGAACTCTATTTGATGTTTCATTATATAATTCTTAATATTTTCAAGTTACAAGTTTCTTACCTGATTTCAAAGGTGTTGTAGCTTAAATCTGTTTTAAGTCATCATAATGAAACATAGGCATCAACAAATGAATATTTGATGGCTTTGCAGTCAGGTTTTGGGGTCCGTGTATGTGTGTGCACACACATGCGCATGCTTTCATCTGAGTTCATTTTACAACAAGGTATTGTCATTTATTTTACCAGGTTCACTTGAGTAGCCTCCATATCCAGAGTCTTATGCCTTTTTCTGAAGGAAATGTAAAAAAAGGATAAGCCATTTCCAGAGTTTGCATCTGAGTTGGAAATAAACACACAAAACTATGAAATAATGCAAGGCCAACTAATGCCATAGGCCTAACATTATATTAAGTCGAACTATATGAAACTGCTGATATTCTGCCATATTCACCTATATACAAGGCAGTTTTTTATGATTCAACCTAATCTGTACTTTAGGATTCTGAGAAGGAGAAAGAAACATGAGCTGGGCCATAAGCATCTTTCTTAGTAGATGAAGGTGTCATAAGAGAAATCTGGAATTAGTGGCACCTTCAGAAGATGATGTAAGTTGTAAGTTATGTGGATAACTTCAAACTTTAAGGTGAATGTGAGGTGTGGAACAGGGGAGAATACAATAGAAAAGGGTAGATTATTTGGGGCCTGAGTACTGAATGGAGGTATTTTAACTTTTTTTCCTTTAACTTTCATCCTTTAAGCCACTGATCCTGAAACTTCAGTGTGATTTAAACCTCCTGGAGGGCTCAGCCCTACTTCCAGGGTTTCTGCCTCAGGATGTCTGGGAGGGTCCCAGTCACTTGATGTGTTTCAGGTCTGGACCACTGCTCCAAGGCTGTAGGAGCTACTATAAGTATTAAAGCAGGGACACACACCATGAAACTGCCCAGGATATCATGAGGGTGTGCAGGGTAGATTGGAAGGAGGGGTGGTGACAGCCAACCTGCTTTATGACCTGCTATGTAAGTTAACTTATATGATTATAAATGATTATGTAATGAAAGTCATGCCACGTTGTTCATCATCTGTTTTCACTTCTTAATTCTGTTGCCTGACCTCACCTATTCTAGTAACTCCACACTGGTGTTAAATAGGGAGGAGCCGGTCCTCCTTCAACTATTTAGGCCTGTTTTCTGCCGTTTTTAATCCTCCTTGCCTGCACGTTGAAGACCATGTTATGAGGCTGTCAAAGCCAGTCTTTTTAGGCATTTTATTCATGTTCATTATTTTGTTTCTACTTTAGTAGTTTCCTTTCTCCAAACAGAGGCAGACTTTTTTATATATTTTTTGTTAATTTCAGAATGGGAAACCAAAGCCCAAGAGTGTACTCTGGTGGAAAATGTTTCTAAACTCAAAAAGGATGGAATCAAGCCCATCAAACTGGAAGAACCCTCTAACTATGATGACAGAATGGAGGGGCAAGCGGCAGAGACCTTCAGGAGAATTCCCACCAAAAGGAGACATTTCAGTGTGAAGTCAGTCCTTTCACAAGAAGGTAGTCCTGTAGAAGACTATAAATATGATATATATAGAAGTGATTTTGAAAAGCATTCAAACCTAATTATGCAGTTTGGTACCCAGTCAGACAATAAAACTTTCATGTACGATGAAGACAAGACCTTCATCCCCGGCATCGTACACAGGAAAATATACCCTGGAGAGAAGCCTTATAAGTGTAAGGTGTGTGGGAAGAAGTTCAGGAAGTACCCATCCCTCATCGCACACCAAAACAGCCATGCCAAAGAGAAGTCTTACGAATGTGAAGAGTGCGGCAAGGAGTTCAGACACGTCTCATCCCTCATCGCACATCAGAGGATGCACACGGGAGAGAAACCCTATGAATGCCACCAGTGCGGGAAAGCCTTCAGCCAGCGTGCCCACCTTACCATACACCAGCGGATCCACACGGGAGAGAAACCCTACAAGTGTGATGACTGTGGGAAAGACTTCAGCCAGCGTGCTCACCTCACCATCCACCAGAGGACACACACGGGAGAGAAACCCTACAAGTGCTTGGAATGTGGTAAAACCTTCAGCCACAGCTCATCACTCATTAATCACCAGAGAGTTCATACTGGAGAAAAACCTTACATATGCAACGAATGTGGGAAGACCTTCAGCCAGAGCACACACCTCCTCCAACATCAAAAGATACACACAGGAAAGAAACCATATAAATGCAATGAGTGCTGGAAAGTATTCAGTCAGAGCACTTACCTTATTCGACATCAGAGAATTCACTCTGGAGAGAAGTGTTACAAATGCAACGAATGTGGAAAAGCCTTCGCTCATTCCTCCACACTTATTCAGCACCAGACCACTCACACTGGAGAGAAGTCCTATATATGCAGCATATGTGGGAAAGCCTTCAGCCAGAGTGCAAACCTCACTCAGCATCACAGAACACATACTGGGGAGAAACCCTATAAGTGCAGCGTGTGTGGGAAAGCATTCAGCCAGAGCGTTCACCTTACTCAGCACCAGAGGATTCACAATGGAGAAAAACCGTTTAAATGCAACATATGTGGGAAAGCATATAGACAGGGTGCAAACCTTACTCAGCATCAAAGGATTCACACTGGAGAGAAACCCTACAAATGCAACGAGTGTGGGAAGGCATTCATTTATTCCTCATCACTTAATCAGCATCAGAGAACTCATACTGGAGAGAGACCCTATAAATGTAATGCATGCAACAAAGATTTTAGCCAGAGAACATGCCTTATTCAGCACCAGAGGATTCACACGGGAGAGAAGCCCTATGCATGCCGCATATGTGGTAAAAGCTTCACCCAGAGTACGAACCTCATCCAGCATCAGCGCGTCCACACAGGTGCCAAAAATCGAAACTAATGCATCCGGGAGACTGCACATAGGTTTTCAAACCTAATAGTTCTACATTTTATTTTGTACTCTGCTTGTTGAAAACATTATTCAAAAGAAGTGCAATATGGGTTAGATTTTCACTCAGCAGAAGTATCGGAATTAGTGATGGGAGTATAACCTATTTAAATGTACTGTGAAATTTCAGATGAAAACATTCACTTCATAATAACCTTTATTTGATACCGGTTTAGTTCATCCCAGAAAGAAACCGTAGGAAAGGAAGAGTGCCAGAAACCTGTTAGCCACTAACTCAGACGGAGTTTCAAGTACTTCTTCATGAGGCCTTAAGAATGTACTGTAACAGGAAGGCTTCCATCCAGTAGAGCTTCCACACCAGAGGGTAATCCCAGGGTGACAGAACAGAAGAGCTGCCCTCCAGCCTTTAGTTCTTCCCAGATATGAAGCCTTAAATATGTAAAGGGCCCCCTTCCCTTTTCCTGTTATGCCATAACTGCACGTGAAGCCAGTAGGTTTGCCAAAAAAGAAAATGGTTGAAAGTATCTTAAGGAAGGACTTGTGTGTGACCACTGTTTAATTATGCTTTCCTCTAAATACTGAGATGTTAAAGGAAGAGCAGCCTAGTGAAAGATGATCTGTTAGGAGAAGCTAATGTGTCTGTAACCCTTAGACATGTGCACAAATTTTCTTATACAGGCAAAAATTAAAATTTAAACAATTCAAAATTTAGATATGTTTAGTATCTAAAACATAACAGCCTGAGTCTCACTAGATTTTGACAGGCTTCCCAAGTGACTCGGTGGTAAAGAATCCGCCTGCCAATTAGGAGACACAGGAGACGTGGGTTCGATCCCTGGGTTGGGAAGATCCCCTGGAGGAAATGGCAACCCACTCCAGTATTTTTGCTCCAGGCAATGGGGTTGCAAAGAGTTGGACACAACTGAGCACGCACTAGCTTTCAACAGCTGTCATCCAGAAGAAAAAAAAGAATACAGTTCTTTTTTTTTTTTCTTTCCCCCATTTGATTCCTAAATTCACAGTTCCTTTTTTTTCCCCCATCTGACTCCTAAAATCCTAAGGCTCCCCCATGACAGTCTTACTGTAGAAAGTCCGTTTCTTCCTTTGAAACATGTTTCTTGAGTGCCTACTGTGCTCAGGGCCCAGACCTCCTAGTTGGATCCTTCCAGGGCTTACCTCCTGAAAGTCACAGCTGACTGAAGCAACAGAAAGCTTTCTAAAATAATGAAAGGTAACAAAATCAAGGATGTGATCTTAACTGGTGCTTCATGGAATGAGCCTAGGAAACCTGCTGAAATGGGTTGCTAAATGCAACCCCGTTATCTTAAGAAAGTAATGAATGTAAGCAGCTATTTAAACAGTATGAGGAAAAAATAAGTAGTGGGAAATGGGTTTGAGTTTAGTGCAGAAAGTGGGTCAGGGAAAAAATCTAAAGACTTAAGGGTGAGGAAAGAGGATACAGAGACTACTTACAGCTGAAATGTTACTAGACTTGATTACCTAAGAAAATAAGAGTGGCCACGTGAATGAAAAAGCAAACCAGCCTATTTATGTAAGAAAAAACTAAAATTGAAATGACTGGTTTCAAAAGAATCACTGAAATTGGTACTCCTCGTACATGTAAGTAAAATAGGGATTACTCTTAAGATAATGAGACGTTTCATTGGAAAAAGCATTGATGCAGAAACTATCACCGTTGCAGTAATTATTAAACAGTAATAACTGTGGGGCCCCAAGCAGCACATAAGGAAAACTGGTAGAAACACAATTAGAAATAGGTGAAACCACTACTGTATGTACTGTCCACAGCATTGCACTCTCAGAATTTCAGACCATGTGCTGACAGCTGACCTTCCCTTCTGCTTGTGTTCCTTCAGTGCCTTGCCTTTGGTAGGTGGTTGAGATATGCTGGTTGAATTAATGAATATGTAGTCAAGTTAGGCTGGAGTAGTAAGGTAGAGTAACTGATGTGGTGTGAAATTGGCAAATCTTTATAGTTTTTGGTGCATACATGCAAAGAAATATGTAACAAATATTGGCCATTTGTTACTAATAGGAGTGACTTCAAAATGAAGAACCAGAATCCCCAAATCTTACTAGCAGGGATATTCCTAAAAAGTCAAGGGACATCTTTATACAAGAAGCTTTCCTGAGCTAGGTGAGGAAAACCTGATATAATTTCTGGTGCCATAAATAACACTGTAAGCATGTATGGACCATGCAGCTTCATTTGGATATTGGAAAGACCTGAGGGGGAGGTGGCAAAGGACCTGGAGTGCCAGTATCTTCCAGGTTCTCTTCCTGAGCGTTTTCTTCAAGAAGCTGCTTTCCCCTTGTCCTCCTCGTAGTTAACCTCGATGTCATGGAAACACCCTTCACAGAGTCCAGGTTTTCTTAAGGTTGCATAATTCTCAGATTATGCTCATACCATAGTTATGTTAAAAAAAAAACAACCATTGTATTTAAGGTGCAATTTTTTGTAACCGTACTTCATACCTTACCCTTTATTCTCCTGGAAAGTGTGGAGTGTTACAGTCCATAGCGCCTTTCTTTGCATTAATCTGTGTTTCCTACCTTTGTGTGGTTTATGTAAATAATACACTTATAAGGTCTTCCACTGAAAACACCGAGGCAGTTGATGCCCTTATAGTAATAATTGTGGAGAATCCTAGATCTTCATGTTTTCCCCACTTTTACAGTTGTCTGATCCATGCTTTGAAGTTTTTTTTTTAAACAGGTAGTCTTATTTTCCACAACTTTTTATTATGAAATGTTCAAATATACAGAAAAGTTAAATAATAAAATGAACTATATATCCACCTAGATGGAAAAATTAACATTTTGCCATATTTTCTACTGAGCAACTGGAGAGTAACTTACAGACATTTCACCCCTAAACACTATTCATGCATCTCTTAAAAACAACCACAATAACATATCTCAAAAAATGAACATTAATGCCCAACTATCAAACCCTCAGTCTGTGTTTCCATCTTCAAGCCGTACAGATGATTGTCTATTCCGTCCACCCAGAATAGCTTCCTGCCTTGAGGTTTTTTTTCCAGGACTTTTTTTTTTTCTTTCTCCTTCAAATAGAGCAGGTCAGTTGTAGAATGTCTTTCAGGATTTAACAGATTGTACATGTGGTTTGTTTATCTTGTTCCTGTAGTTTCTATAAATTAGCAGATAGGGCCAAAGGCTTGGTGTATTCATGTTACACATTTTTTACATTAACACCTCACAGATGTATTTCATATTGCATCCCATCAAAAGTCTCAATATCAGGTTGACTAGGGACTTCCCTGGCAGTCCAGTGATTAAGACTGCACTCCCAATGCAGGGGACATGGGTTTGATCCATGGTTGGGGAATCCTGCATGCTGCCTGGCACAGCCAAAAAAAAACAAAAAAAAATGACTCACTGTGATGCAAAATTTGATCACATCTTCCCAACTTAAAAGGATGTCCTTGCTGTTGCAGGTAACAGATAACCTGTGCACTGATGTGGCAGTGCGTAGGCAGCCCATTTACCAGCAACCTTTTACCTGATGGTTTTGGGGATCCAATGATGATCATCCTTGCCAGAATCAATTATTTCAGCAAAATTTGCTGAAATTTTCTAATTCTGTCCTTTCTACATTTACTGACTGGTACTCTGTAAGGAAGAGCTTTCCTTCATCAGCTGGGACTGCACTAGAGGCAGGATCATACTCAAGTCTTTCCTTAAATTACCGATTTTTCAAGAGTCAGGAGTCACCAGCAGTGATGACATATGATTTGGTGCTGCACAGTTAGGATCACTGTTTCAGATTTTCTGATAATCCAAGACTTGGCCAGTTAGAAACCTTCAGGTAGCCCTTTTGTCCTCTGTCATTCCTCTCCAACCTTTGGGCACTTAATGGCCTTTTGACAAAGCTATCTCCAGTTCACCTCACACTCTCAATACCCCAGGTATGGGATGAGCCCTTTCTCCAGGAATCCCTGGCTCTTTTTATAGGCAGCAATTTAGAAACCAGATCTGGGCAGTGGCCATGCTCTCTGCTCCTGGGCATTGTTAGCAAGTGGGCTGAGTCCTTCCAACCGTCAGAAGAGCCTGCAGTAAAGGCAACTCTGCCCTTCTTTCACCAGTTACATAATATCTAATTCTGTAATGAGACATAATTACATATCCAGACAAACAATTTGGGGAGCAAATAAGTCCTGTCGAGCAAACTAAACTGGAGGGAACACAAGGGTTATGTGTACCTGGAAACCCACACACTTAAACGCAAGTCTTGTGCCAAGGCCATGAGCAATAAGTTTTCAAAGGGACGGAGCTTTTCAGTTAACCTGGCAAGCATGTTAAGTAGAGGGCAGTTGAGAGCAACTGAGTGAATGACACCAACTATATGGTGGTCTGACTATGACGTGTCTTGATGATTTACTGTGTTGGGCTCAGCACACCCTCTTCCCATCACGTTAAGGCAGGTTTCTGATATAAATCAGAGTTCTGAGGATCTATTTCATGCAAAGTACTAGTTTTTCTTGCTAAACTTTTATTTGGTCTTTTAAAACTTAATGCCATTAAGTTTCTTAGATTCTTATCTTCTGGTATGAATTCACTTGCATGTGCCTTTAATGTACTTTCACCCCTTTATTCTCCTCATAGCTCTATATTTCACTATAATTACTACCCCTTTAGAACACAGTAGCCATTAAAAATGGCAAGCATGTGTACTAGTGATAGGTATAATGTGTGTCTAAGCTTGTCAGCAGGACTGAGTCTTGTGTGTGGACAGGGAAGGGGAAGCCCACCCAGATCACATATACCCAGTGAGGGAACAAGGATTGGAACCCTTGGCTCCAGCACTAGGTTGAGTTCTTTATTTAAAGTAATGTTAAATGAAAACTCAGAATACAAAAAGTATGTACCTATAATTTTATAAAATTACGTTATTTTGATGAGATTCAGTTCAGTTGCTCAGTCATGTCCGACTCTTTGCAACCCCATGG